CGAACGAGATCGGTTTATCCGAGTAGCAATAAGGTCTCCCGATATGCAAATGTATTCTCCATTTCTGATCAAAATTAGTCAGCAAGGTTTGATCAATTCTAGGGCTCACACATATTGAGTTTCCCTTAGTATGAAAATTTCTTGGTTTCGAAAATGTTTCTAGATTTAACAACAGAAACTCTCGTGTTTCCATAGACATGGCTAATGTGACCTTAACATCTCCTGAGAAACTAATCTTAACCTTCTTGAAATCATCTTTGAGAGACGTTAAAAAATAAACAATAACACGTTATCTTTTCATTAAGTTCGTGAACTTAAATGGATATAAGTTTGAAAGTTGAGTTATTAAAATGATCATTTTAATTAGTTGGAGTAGTAAACTGGGCAGAAAAAAAGTTTGGGTATTGAAAGCTTATGACAATTTAGTTGAGATAGTTTTATGGAATTTTGCCAAAAAAAAATATAATAACCCTAGTTAGTCACCTCTGTCTCTCGGCTCTGGACGGCTGGCTCTCCATTTTTCTCGAGACAGAATGTTGCCGAAACAATCTAATCCAGCGTTGTTCGACGCCGCGAAATCTTTGGAGGTGATTGAAGCTCACACGATAAATGCTTTTCGTAGTGTAAAGGATCGGAGATTTGGGTTTTCTGATTTTAAGGATTGTATTGCTGCGATTCAATTCACTATTGGGGACTCTGATCTCTACCATCTCTTAGAGAAATTGGAAGAAGAGGGTGGTTTAGTGGATCAAAGTAAATTTATGAAGATGTTCTTCACCCAATACAAAGGTGGGCCTTTGTATGTGGCTTTCGAATCATTCGCTAAGGGGAAAAGGACAATCGAGAAGAAGAATCTCAGGAAGGTTTGGATGCCTTTGGGATAAAAGGTGTCATGGACTTGGAAGCAGCAAAGCTAACTGAGTTTTACAATCTTTGCTAAGGGGATAACCATATCACTTTCTCGGACTTTTGTATGCGCTTTAAAAAAGCATGTGCACTAATGTTCATTTCAGATTGAATGATCATATCTTATCCATATCCAATCTGATTATTGGTTATATACACATAATTTATTTCAATAGACAAATATATAAATTGAGTAATTATCCCATGTTATCAAAAATTATCTGTCTTTACCCAAAATACATGAACCCAAATTTAATCCTGATTCTACTAGAAAAATTTCAAACAGTAATTTCTATCGTTTTAAAATAAGCTAATTAGTTTTTGAATTGTATATGTTCATTTTTAACATATACTCAGTTTGAATACAATTGAGATATACTTTATAGAAGGGGATATGAAAGAGATGGCGAGTCGTTGCAGAAGATTGAGTAGTCGTTATGAAAATTTAGGTTGTAGAAATGTCGAAAAAACTCATCACGCTGGTTCAGACAACAAACCTTCAACTTGGAATGAAAGTATGCTCTATTTACAATTTGTTGGTGGAGCACTCACTCTTGCTCTCCTATCTTTCATACCAAAACCAACCCCTGCCCTTTTCCACACCCTATCTCTCCTCCTTAACACCAATAAATCGACTACTCTTCCTCCTTCGCTTCCCATTTGTTTTTACCTTAACAAATCTACACCCAATCGAATCTTTGACACAATCATAATGGGATTGTTGATGTCATGAGTTCTACTCTTCATCCTTCCTCTAAACAATCAGAGGTTCGATTAAGGGCCGAGTTTATGAATGTCTCTCAGTGGTTCAATATCCATCAATCTCTATGCGCTGGACCCATACCATCTAATTGTCTTTGCCACCCTCTGTGTTGCGTTTGGGGTCTCTTTCTACAAGAGAGGTTGATCCTACTCAATGGTCATATAGTTATCATTTATTTAATATCTAATAGCTTATAGCGTGATGATCTTACTGCTTTTGCTCCTTACCGTTATAGCACCATTATAGGTGTATGCCAATCAAGGTCGAAGCTTCATGAGCTCTATTTGAAATGTTGTCATTTTAATCAGGCAAATACATCTAGGGTTAACTAGTAGAATATCACATTTATGAGAGAAAATTGAGTAATTAACATGTTAAAAAATAAAATTAAGTAAGTAGTAGAGAGAATTAAATATAGGACAAAATTGCCTCTACATATAGTGTAATTAAATTAAGTATGAAAAAATCCCTAAAATTATATTCCTCTCATCTCTAGGAAAATTGCTCATGTGTCTTTATCTATAAAAAAAAAATTTGCTCTACAAAGAAAATAAAATTGGGTCATAAAAACAGTCTTAGAATATAGTTAACTTTATTACATCTATTAAACGATTAAATAGTTAACTAATCGATTTAGACATATAAATCTTTTAATATTTTTACGTGAATGACAAACTTATGATTTCTAATTACTATAAACGTATCAAACTGATATGTATATGTATTATGCATAGATGTAATAAATGTTAATATTTTTGATCAAACATATTTTAATGCCATTATTTTTAGTATTTTTATTGGTAAAATTTTGCAAAACATAAGCAATTCTTATTTATTTTAGTATTTTTTAAGTGTAAAATTGATCTTCATGATTCATATAAATTATAAAACATACGATAAATCAGATAAACTTTAGATGTATATGAATTTGTTAGACATAACAAATGAATAACAATATATGTTTTTAAATAATGAAATGTAAATATTTTTCTTTTGTATACATTGAAGGTGGTTGGGGTTAAGGGGATCACCGAGTTGGAAGCAACGAAACTAAGATCATTTGCATCCTTCCTTTGGAACGAAGAGGAATAATCAGATCTCATTCACATACTTTTGTAGACTAACAGCTCCTACTTGTATGTTTCTTCTCCGGAAATCTCTTCATCACAAGGTAAAACCTAAAACCTTCAACTTGGAATGAAATTATGTGCATTTACAATCTCTTGGTGGAGCATTCGCTCTTGCTCTCCTATACTTCATACCAAAACCAACCACACTCAATTTCCACTGCTTAATTAATCATTGGGCCCATGTAGATCGTCTAAGCAACCTTAGCGATATTTTGAATATAGCCTAAAACACTACTAAGAGCAAAAATAGTGAACTTTGTATTGTTTTTCTCTTCGCTATTGACCTAGTTTCAATGTTTTACAGTTTTACTTTTACTACTTCTAATACGTGTATACTTTGTCTTTTTTGGCGTTCAAAAACTACAAAGAGAAAAATTGAGTACAAAATCATAAAGGTTTATTGGTAAACAGCAAGATAATAATCAAATCAAAGTAAACAAAAAAAGAAAAACTTTACAATTCATGCCACTAACCGGCAACCGGAACCGTGTTTTCCTCTCACAAATTAGCTGCAACAAACGTAAAAATATGCTAAATCTTATA